TATCCCTTTAGAATAACTCTCAAAAACCAGAAATTAAAGCAGTAGATATTAATAAAATAAACCTATGATACAAGAGAGCACCCAAAATAGAAAAGGCATACTAGTAATTAGTTACCAAACACCACCAACTTTAGAAGTCAAAACCAACCTGTGACAGAATGATTGGTCCTCCTTGTGATGCATACAAGTTCTCCTGCTTCATCATGTCCACAATTTTGGCTGTGAATCTCTTCATTTCTGTCTGAAACAGGGACTTAATCGGTTAAGAACTCCCAATAATTGAGCAGTAGTAATCGAAGTCATAAAACAGATTATATAATTCATACCTTGAACGGCTCGTTATCAGTTCGAAACTGGATTCCCGGGATAAAATGCAACCAAAGAGGGAAACCACTACCAAATTTTCAAACTAAAATTCAGTATTCTTTTTATTAAAAAAATCCTTGAAAAGGGATTTTGAAAACTTATCAAGTAATCATTATCAATTTACCATATATTAAATTGAATAACATGATTACCCGTAATTCCATTCTGCGCAAACATATGGACCAATACGGAGATGAACATATAGACCTGCCTCGGCTACCAACTTCACGAATTTAACCAAATCATTCCGTCCCTCGAAATTATACTGTATGTGTATAAAATGAGGAGTAATTGTTTTTTTCTTCTTCCATTTTTCAAGATCAATAAAAAAATTAAGTGTCCAATTCAACTTCAACTAGTAATAAATGAAAAGCTCAGGTGGACCAAAGTGCAGACGAATTCTTAAAGCGACATTTATTCAAAATTTAATGGCTATAAGACGAAAAACTTTTCTGCTTCACTCTTTTCCATTTTCTCAGCAACCAAACAGCATCAAAACATTTAAATGAACGAACCTTGTTCCTGACGGGCTCATGTGAATTCCAGAAAACATAGGTCTCGATCACATCTAGTCCTCCGTCCTTCGATTTCTGTATGAGGTCCGGCCACATCTGCGACAACCAAAACGACAATGGAGTATATATAAAACGCTGAGGTTTATGCTGTCTCTGGATAACAGGAAAAAGGAAAAAAAACAACATACTCACATCGGGAGTGCTGCGAGGATAATGGATGGAGCCGGAAACCAAGACCCGGCGCTTGCCGTCAATGACGATCGCTCTGTGATCGTACGTTACATTGACTCCAAACGAAGTGGCAGCCAGTAAAACCAACACCACCGACCGGAGAAGTGACGGAATCGGAAGCTTTGCCGATCTCATCTCGGAATCAAAATCAAAACCAAACGCACGCATTCTCTGCAACAAAAATCATCTTATCTCTGCCTTTATAGAAAAATTAGCAGTTTCTTCAAACGGTGGTTAAGCAAACCTCTGAGACAGCTTTCTTCCTTTGCTTCAGTACTTTAATCTGAAATTTGTTGCTTCGCCGCTTTGTTAAAAACTTGCTTTAATCTTTTAGCATCAAAACAGAGCTAAGTTATCTCTCTCCGGAGACGACACGCCACCGGGGGGCCGCCGTCTTATCGTCTTTTCTTTTTCTTTTGCGACAGCCAGCTGCAACGGAGAAAGTGGAGCGGGAGCGAAATTATTACCTACTATATATTAACGTGTTTGGAAAATTAGATAGCTAAATGGCGTCAGCAACAGCGAGGCGAGTGCTGTTTTGGCCCTCTTCATTCAACACAATGATGAAAAATGTAGTTAAAATTTGAGGGAGATAATGTAATATAAGTCACGTGAATTAAAATATTAAAATATAAATTTTATATTATTTAATAAATAATTTTTATATTTTTAAATTTTATAATATTATATATTAATTTAATAATATAACTTATAAAATATCATTAATTTTAAATTTTTATATTAAATTTTTATTTTTTTTATCATTTCTCTTTTCAGTATATCACTTTAAAATATTAATTTTTATTTCATTTAATTGTTAAAAAATAATTATTAATTATTATTATTATGACAAAAAGGTCGATGTCTTGTATGGTAAAAAAATTTTAAAAAGATATTTTAAAATTATATAATTTTATTAAATTTTGGGTTAAAACCCCATCTTATTTTTTAAACTATTTTACGGACCTTCGATTTAAAGCAAAATACCCAAATCGACTTCCAAAATATAGTGGTAGAGACGGATTCATCCCAAGTAAAAAATAGAAACAAATCCATCCACAAAGTTTTTGACTTGAACAAATTATCTTAAATTTAATGTATAACGTCATCTGACATTAGCAATTTATTGATTTATTATGTCGTTAATAATGGATTGTTAACATCAAATGACATCACATTAACAGATTGCTGATGTCAAATGATATCACAAGTTAAATTTGACATAATTTGTTCAACTTTAAAACTTTGAGGGGGCATTTGTTCTTTTTTTTTGTTTATGGTTGGATCCGTCCCTACCATTATACTTTGGGGGTGGATTTGGGTATTCTACCTCGATTTAGTCCTTGAACTTAAAAAATCCTTGATTTAATCCTTTCTATTTACTAATTTAGCCTCAACTTGATCCTTTCTTTAAAAATCTTGTGACATTTCATGTTAATTTACGATAACATGATGACATGTCGAAATATTAAATATAAATGGGAAGATAACATGATTGACATGGATAAAAAATAATGATATGACAAAAAAATTGATATGAAAAAGAAAAAAACTTAAAT